TGAACTTGCTCAGTAGCTATACACAATATTTACCTTTTCTCATGGAAGTAAAGTACTGGTTGAAGTACTTATTCAAGTAGAAATTTTCTCAATATAAGCAAAATGTTGATGGCTGCATTAAAATACTATTTATTTAACCCTACATGATTTATTGCAATTGTCATAAAACCTGTTTATACCCTAAAACCTGTTTATTGCAACAGGTTTTAGGGTATAAGCAGTGCTAAAGAATTTTGAAAGATGAAATTAGTATTTTAATATACTCAATAAGAAAGGAATAATTTAAATACTCAAAAGAGTTTTAATATATAGAATCTAATTATTTAAATTATCCTCATTTTGTTCCTAACAAAAGTATAATGCAAAATTAAAATAGTTATACTTGTGAGAAACCATATCATAAAAGTATGTGAAAGATTTTTCTTAATCATAGAAATTGTGTTATTTTTGAAAAATATACTCCTGACCAATAGTTTAAAAGTGAATCTCACTTATGGACATGGCAACATGTGGCAATTGTTGGGGAGAGGGAGACATAAGGGGGCTAAAATGTGATGGAGATTAAATTTAAAAAGTAAATTTCATATTTAAAAGTATAATTAGTATGTTCATAAACATTTTTGTTTATATTTTTTAGTTCATACCTTTTTTTTTTAAAGATTTTATTTGTTTATTTTTAGAAAGAGGGGAAGGAGGGAGAAAGAGAGAGAGAGACATCAATGTGTGGTTGCTTCTCATATGCCCCTACTGGAGACCTGGCTCACAACCCAGGCATGTGCCCCGGCTGGGAATCAAATGGGCAACCCTTTGGTTTGCAGCCCATGCTCAATCCACTGAGCTATACAAGCCAGGGCTATAAATATTTTTAAAATCATGTAATTATATTGCATTTTTCCCTTTAAAACAGAAAGGATCTCTAAGAATAATGCTGTTTGATTCTTGCATATTATGGAGGGTAAAACCAATGCCTGGAAAGATCCTATGAGTTGTCACACTGCTGTTTTTGTGTTGCAGTGGGTAGCAAATCCAGCACCATCTCCCAGTCTGAGAAAAGGCAGGAAAACTTCAGCCCATCAGAATGAAAGGAGCACAGCTGGACATGGAGTCTATGTGTGGCATTTCCTCTCTTGTCCACTCTGATATCTGTTTTCTCTGAATTCCTTTTTCATCTGCTAGTTTGCAGATGTCAGGGAATTGTTTCTGAACAGAGAGCCTCCTTGCTCATATGATGCTTTGTGTGAATTAGGAAACGGACCCCCTCTAGGGGGGTACAGCCTTGCTGTACACACAAGCCAGTGACCAAGGCCTTCCTCTCCATGACCCTACTACCCTTGGGCCCAGCACGACCTGCCTGATTAATTTGTGTGTCTCCATTCTAATTTCTGACTTGTCCTACTGTTGTCAAATGTTGCCTTAGTTTACAATGTGGTAAGCATAACCAAGAACCCCAAACCTCTTATGTATATAGTATATTTGAGTGAGAGAAGCAAAAGATAGCTGAAATTTGATGTCAGGAAATTTTGGCTTTACATTTGCCCTCTTTTTTATGAATTAGACATGTCCTACCATATCACTGTCATCCTAAGAATCAAGCTGTGAGAGGTGATCAGCAGGGCTAACAACTTTCACACATGCACCCATGGACAGTCTGCCACCAGCCAAAGTAAATGGCCCAATTGATTGTTAGCTTCGTCTATGTTTTTCATTGGTTTGAATTTGAATGCATTTTTAAAAATAGAACCCCACCAGAATACTGGATCATTTGAACATTTTAGGAAAGCCCAACCCCACCATGTTCAAAATGCAATGCTAACAACCCAGAGGGACAGTTTTTATTTGATTTAATATGAATAGTTTCTTCCTTTGCCAACTTCATTGGAAATCTAGCAGCAAACAATTTCTGAAATATGGTCATTGAATTAAACTACTTTTTTAAGAGATCTATAATGGCCAGTAGGGAAGGCACCAGGAACCAGATTTGACAACATTGAAGAGGTGTAGACCTCAAGTACAACCACTGCAGGCAGTGAATAGAAAGAGAAAATGAAATCACATATTAGGCTGTATCTTCAGGGCTGCAGGAGGGTGATCAACTCTGCCTAAAGATAGTACACTACTAAACTACATTGCTTCATTATAGGCTATCAGGTTAAAAAAATCATGGTGTATATTGATAATAAAAGGGACCAAATATAGTACTAGATAAAATCAGAAGAGACAAAACATACAACTCCAGCATTTTATTTCAAACTAAATTAAATTTAAACCACTAGGTTCCATAAACATTAAACAGTCAACATAGTTAACATGCTGACTTTTTGGAAGACATATTGAAGATAATTTAACTATCTTACTAGAACAAGGTTGGCAAGTTTATTTAAATTAAAGAGGTAGATCACCACGTCCCTGTCTTGTGTCCACGGTAGACATTTCTCAAAGAACCATTCTCCACTTTCCCCTGACCTTTAACCTGGCCTCACATCCTTCTCCTGGAAGCCACTCACTACCTTCTAATTGGGCTTAGTATTTGAACCTCCCATCTTCAATGAGAACTGTTGGTCATTCTCCTGGTCAACTAACCTCCCTGAGAGCAGGGACCATGCCATACTTAACATTATGTCCTAAAGCCAGCATATCACCTGCACAAAGTAACACTCAATATAGAGTTGGAAATAGAAAAGTAGTCCAAAAATCATTAAAAAATAGTTTTTCATAAGCAGGTAATTCTCAAAACAAAATATTCAAGTGACCAAAATCACAAGCAAAAATAAATTTAGCATGCAATTTCCAAAGATTTTGAACAAATAATTTTAGCTCTATTGGCAATTTTTTTTTTAAACTAATACCCAGTGTTGGTGATCTGAAGGGGAACAAGTGCTTACATATATGGCGGGCAAGAATCTAACATAGATTTTCTGGAGGAAATTTAGTTTATCAAAACTCATAAAAATGGAAATATTGTGATTAGAAATTTTACCTATGGAAATTTATTTCATTAAAATAGATATTTGTGCAATGATTTAGCTTTAAGAAAGTTTGCTGCAGTACAATATTAAAAAACAAAACAGTTGGTATTACCTACAGTCAGGTATTGGTTAAATAACATTTGATGGACTCTGTTTACAATATTATTTATATATGTCTACTATGCAGCTATTAAAGTTATATAAAAGTGTACACATCAACATGGAAAAATGGTTAGTTATATAATGTTATATGTAAAAATAGTTTGCAAAATAGCATTTATGATATGTGCTTTTATTTTGCAAGTGTTTAAGTGTATGAACATAAGCCCTAAGAAGAGGGTCTAGAAGTTCTAATACGCTAACATTTTCCCCTGTATCTTTTTCTTCTCCAATTATCATGAGTTACTTCAGTAATTTAAAAAAAGTAAAATTAATTATTTTTTAAAATGTATTCTCCTATATTGAGCAGAACATTCAAAATCAATCTTTTGATCATTATTTTCAGAATAGTAAATTCAGCATTTAGACATTAGAGCCGTGTTTAGACTTCAGTGTGAGCACTACAGAGCCATTCTTATCTGGTCCTGTGTTCCCATATTCTTTGTTTTCTTCTCTCATTCTTCCTCTCTGCCAAAATTCTTCCTGTGATGGGAGAAAAATGACAGAAGTCAAATGAGAGTAATTTGTCATAGAAGGCATGTAAAAGACAATTACATTTTGCTTAGGTTCTCAGTGTTCACTTTATTTATTTTTTCTTATTACAAAAATAATACGGTCCTGGCAAGATGACTCAGTTGGATCAAGCACCCTCCTGTACACCACAAGCTCATCAGAGCACAGACCTAGGTTGCAAGTTTGATCGCTTGTTGAGGAATGTGTGGGAGTAAACCAACACATGTTCCCCTCATCTCTCTTTCTCTCTCTCTCTCTCTCATCTGTCTCCCCCCTCTCGAATCAATAAATACATCTCTCTCTTCCCCCTCAAATCAATAAATATATCCTTGAGGGAGGATTTAAAACTACTTGTTTATTACACCAAAAATTGGAAAGTACAAAACATTTAAAGGAGTTGGAAAAAAAGCCATAATGTGGCACACTTACATCACATACCAGTTATTATTTTTCTATACATCTATACATCATTTTCTTTGTGTAGTTACAATCAGGTTGTAAATACAAGTGCATCCTAAGTTTCTCTAAGATGAATAAGATCTTTGCTCTCCAAAATTAATTTAACAGGTTAAAACAAACAGAACATGGGATGTTTTCAAGTTCACCTGTCCCATCATAGATACTTATTGCATATTTATTAAGAAACAGAGAGGAATCTTTACATTAAATATGCCTCAGATAAAGTAATCAAAGGATATTCTCAAAATGTTCAAAGACAGAGACAGAGTAGGGGCTAACCATTCAGAAGGACACCTCTCCTCTTGGGTGTATCCCCCTCAGTTGCTGTATCTGGAGGATGTAGGTGGGACATCCTAAGCAGAGACCAGAATGACTAGGCGGGGGCCTTCAGGACATCCAGAACAGTGACTGTTGGCCAAACAATATGAAAGGATGTTAACATTTTAACAACTGACATGACAGACTAAGCCCTGGAAGAAATACACCAAAATATTTCCTCAGTTTCTGCTCCAGGGGAGGCCATGATGCAGTGGTCGCAGCAACTCCCCTTTTACAACAGAACCTTGTTTGTGGTTGGTACCTGCTAGTCTCGTGAAATTGGAGACTCCAGGTCCACTTAGCTGATTAAAAAGGAGAGAGGGAGAAATTCCATGTTCAGATAAGTAAAATCAAATATAGTCCTATAGGAACACTGCTTAAATATTGTTGAGGTAGAGAATAAAGGGAAGAGGCCAGTAGAATAACTCCCTGGCTGGGTTTGAGAATTGGGAACTCTAAAGTGTCTGTTCATTTTAGAAGGAAAATAAAACCCAGAAAAGGGAGTCAGTCATATTCACGAAAGGGCAGTGAATGACCTGCTAATGCACATGGTAACATTTTTAATACTTTATTTTACTCTTTTAGCTTTCCTTGTTGGAAAAGGCTGGATTTGGAGGTGTGCTTCTATATATTGATCCTTGTGACTTACCAAAGACTGCAGATCTTAGCTACGACACATTCATGGTGTCATTGAATCCAGGAGGAGACCCTTCTACGCCTGGTTACCCAAGTGTCGGTAAGTTCATTGATAATATTCATTATCCTTGGAAGCATTGCAAGGTTGCAATGTATAAGTACATGCTACCTAAACTAAACTCAAGTGTAAAAACAATCCTACCAATCTGTGTTTTAAAAAGTGAATATTTATCTTCTCAAATTACAGGTCACTCATTTGTTGGAATAAATATTTTTAAAAGTCTATAATAAATTTTCTGTTTTAAATAAATTACAGTATCATGAACAAAAAACTATTTTATATATTACTGATAGATGACAGGCACTCCATGTAGGTCAAAAAACATGTACAGAGACCTAGAAGCATGAACTATCTTCTGCTTTGGGGTAGCTGTGATAACTCTAAGTCCAGGATCTGGGGATACATTCAGTGAAGTTAGATGAATAACATTATGAGAAATGATGCTGGAAATGAGTGGACTCAATATGATCAAATTGTGTGGCTCCCTATGAGATGGAACCCCTTGGGCTTGGCCAGTCTCTGGCAGCACAGTGATGCCGATTTTTGCACCAGATGTCTTTCTCTCTCCCTTTATTCATAATAGTGGGGGTCATGTGGCAGACCGAAGACAGCTGTGATTTTGGCAAGTGCTCCCCGCACCATTGAATTTCTGTCTAATGTGTCATTGACAAATATTACATTTATACAGACTTGGCTAGCAAAATGCTCTTTGGACCTTATTCCAGGGTGATACTAACACATTAACCATGATATTTCAGTCAGTAATTAAACTTACAAAGATTCATGCCATTATGTATGTGTTCTGCCAATATTTTTCCTGTTCTCTACAAAATATCACAAAAACTTTAATAATTATCTTGCTCAAGTCCAGCTGCTCTGACTTTACCAATCAATCAATAACTTCCTCCAAAAAATAAGTAAATTGAGTTATGAGTTATAATTTGTGATTTCTTTTGAGGGGGAGTGTACTGACTACTGCTTTGTTTTCTGAAATATCCCTTTAACCCATGTAAGAAATTATTACCTGAGACCTCATTGATCTGTACTTTGTATAATTTATTGTCTCACTATTACACTTTTGAAATTAAAATTAGAAAGTGATCATCTGTAATATTCGAGCAACATCAGACATATCGGTGCAGCTCTCTCATTTGCAAATGTTCTAACTTCCCCGGACCTGGCAGCTAATTCTTTATGACAAATCAATGGGCTGCAATGCTACTGAAAAGTGAATACTTTATGAATACTCTGCTTAAGTTGGCAAGTTGCCTAGTGGACAACATTTACTCTTGACATTACTTTAACCCAGGTCATTTCATAAATGTAGAATTCAGTCATATCTGGTAAAATGTTGGCTAATCTCAAGCAATCTCAGTATGTGTTTTCATTTTATTTTCATATACTTTCTACTCAAAAAAGTTGTATATAATTAATCTATCTACATTTATCTCAGCAACTAACATTAACATCTCACATAATATAGTAAAATCATCAAAGTCATAAAATTAATATTAATATAATGCTATTAATTATAGATATTTTTCAAATTTCTCCAATTCTTTTACTACTTTTTTTGGGGGGGCTGCACCATCCAATCCAGAACTTCGTAATGCATTCATTTGCCTCATTTTTTTAATCCTCTCTGATCTGGACATGTTTCTTTCCTTATCTCAACCTTTTCATGAATACTGGCAGTTGGTTTTCTAAAATGACCCTCCACTGAGCTTGCCCAGCAACTCGTAGTGGTTGTACGTTGTCACATATTTCCGGCAGGGGTACTTTAGAAGAGGTGATATGTCCTCCTCAGTACATCATAGGAGAATATACATACTGTTGATATTTCTCGTGGCTCATGATGCTGACTTGAATCCCTTGGTTATGGTGATGTCTGACAGTTTTCTCCATTGCCTGGTTACTACCGTTTTCTTTTGTAATTAATGAATGTCTTCTAGATAGTTACTATGTGACTATGTGAACATCCTCTTTCTTACCATACTTTTCCCCATAAATGTTAGTATCCATCAATGGTTCTTGTCTATTATAATTATTGTGGCATTTGTCAAATTATATGTTTTCTGTTTTAATCATTCCTTTAGAATACTTTTAAAGAAATATTTTTTACAATATGAGTAGTCTTAGTTGACACTTTTATTCTTAAACAATGCTGAAATGACTGGTCATTTCGGGCAAAATGTATGTAAGAGTTTTTAGATTTAATGACAAAAGATCAGTTCAATAAATAACATTATCTACTATATTACTCATGCACCTATAGAGGATTCACATGAGCAATTCTTTTATAAATATAATGCCAAAGTGAAGAGGGGAGAGGATTTCTCTTGAACATATGAATGTCTACATAACACAGGAGAGAAAAAGATACAGCCCATTGTATTTCTCATTTTGCCCTGGATACTAACAATCTGTGATTAACTGTAGTGATTTATACCCCTGTTCCTTTACAGAAAAATACATTGTGTTGCTTATGCTCTTATAGTTGTCCCAATTTTCCCCCTTTGCCTGCCTCCACCTACCCTGACTCCCACTTAATTTATCTCTCCTTATTGAAATTGTTTTAGATACTATATCTTATTATTTTATTCACATTAAAAATATAATGCAACCCTCCTCAAAATTTTTGGGTGAAGAAAGAAAGAGAAGGTGGGTTTTGAGTTATAAACAAAAACTACAAATGATAATTTGTTCAAAGTGAACAATAGTATCTGACTTCATTCCTTTGAACATTATCAAGTAAATAATTATTAGAGGATTTAATAGAAAACTACCTCTTTTTGCAGCTTTTATAACCTTGTTTTATTGACTAACCTAGGATGATTAAGTTATAAAGACGTAGTGTAGCATGAATGACAAAAATCCAAAGAGATGTTTTTGCTTGTTTGCTTTTTAATATATGCAAATTAAAAGAAATAGTATAATAAACTCTCTGTATGCATCATTCAACTTCATCAACTATATACATTCTACCAGGGGATGGTTTGTCTATACATTCATTTCCTTACACTCTTCAGCACCCTTGCTATTTTTCCAGATAAAATTTACGTAGACCGAAATGCATACATCTTAACTGACAAAAGACTACGCCCATGTAATCTCCATACCTATTACCTAAAAACATTTTTATCACCTTTGAAAGTTTTGAGTCCCTTCAGAGTCATTCCCTGTCACTAGCCCTAGCTAATCACCAGTATCACTTTTCTCATGGTACAGAAATTTAGAACATCATAAAAATCGAAACATGAAATATGTGCGTATTCTGTGCAAGTTCTGTTACTTAGAATAATGTCTGCAATGTTGATTCATGGTAGCATGTATCAGTAGTTCCTTTCCTTTGATTACAGAGAAGGATACCACAAATTTTGCATTGATTCAGGTAGGTGTTTTTTAAACAAGAATGCTGATGCATTCCATAAAACATGGTCTAAATGGATTACCCAGACAAGATACAGAAACTTCTTATAAGATAGTTCTGCACAGTAAGTCTTGTTGCATATCTAAGTAGCTCTTAATTATTATAGAGTCAGAGGAAAGAGTAAAGATTTTAAGATAACCTTTGCTCTTTTTACACAAAAAAGATTGTCTCATTATTCTATTTTTAAGATTTTGTTTATTTATTTTTAGAGAGAGGGGAAGGGAAGGAGAAAAAAAGGGAGAGAAACATCAATGTATAGTTGCCTCTTGCACATCCCCTACTGGGGACCTGGCCTGCAACCCAGGCATGTGCCCTGATTGGGAATCAAACCAGCAACCCTTAGCTTCACAGGCCCATGCTCAATCCACTGAGTCACACCAGCCAGGGTGCATTATTCTTTGTACAAAAACAAGCCTTTAACTTCATCTGTCCTAATAATTATTTTTGAGCCCTATTTTCTTCAAAACAAGAAAAAAAAGGAGGACTATCTATACCTATATCTCTAGCTCATAGATTGTTAGTAAGGAGATGAAAAATCTCTTGCTCTACCCCAAGTTGATACAGGAACTCCTGAGAGCGGCCCAACCATCTGTGTTTTAACAGACATTTCAGGTAGTTCCAATACAACTGAATTTTGAGAAATTCAGTGGTTTAGTCACTGAAATTTAGTGGTTTAGCCACTAAACCACAGAAATATGTTCTTTATTTACCTTATCTCATTTGGACCATTGTGGCTACTGACCTAAACTTTGTGACCTCATGTTGCTGTTCCTTCAGCATCTTGAATTGCTACTTTAATATTGCTGCCTCCACCTCAGTCAGGGCTGAGAAATGTATGTATTTAGAATCTTCAACCTCCTGGTTGGTGTGACTCAGTGGACTGAGTGCCTGCCTGTGAACCAAAGGGTCACTAGTTCAATTCCCAGTCAGGACACATCCTTGGGTTGCCAGCCAGGTTCTCTGTTTGGGGACACACAAGAAGCAAACACACACTGATATTTCTCTTCTTCTCTTTCTCTCTCTCTTCTCCTCTGTCTAAAAAGAAATAAATACAATCTTAAAAAAAACTTCAAGAAAAAAAAAAGAATCCTCCACCTCATCTCTGTGCTCAGTAGGCTCCCAGTATATACTTGTTGATTGAATAACTGGTTTTGTTAACACGACCACCTTTTTCTAATGACTATTATCCTGAATTACATCTTAATTTTAATTTACCTAATAAAAACTTATTTTTTAAATCTGTATAAGCCTTTACCATGATGTTTGTTTATAGATATATGTTTTTTCTCCTTAAATGTTTTTGTCAATTCTCTCATATCTCTTCTGTTACTGCAACTAACAGAAAATCTATTGATTCAAAAAGTTTTGAAATTCTAATTAAGATATTAGTAAGATATCATAAGTTGTATTTATTCTCTTAATTTCTTTGTTCATTATACAAATTAACAAGTTTGACAAATATGTCAAAATTAAATGTCTAAAATATCAAAAACTTCATCGGAACTGCTTTCACCACCTTGCTGCAGTGTTTCAACTATATTAATACATGATCCAAGGAGGTCTCATCTAGAACCATATCATTTTAGAATTCTCATGGATATATAACACA